CATTTGCCGGAACTGCGAGTCATTACACGTCGCGGGGATTATGTAGTCCATGATATCGATGTGGATGTCGTTCAGTACCACTACATTCCGGTCAGATCCGGCCCCAGAGATGTCGTACACTATATATGGATAGATTGACATTAATTTTGCGTTCAAAACACATGACTATTACTGACCAATATTGCCGAAAATGATGCCGTTCTCAGTGGAGGCCACTTTGACGGACGCCTTAATGTTGGCGAAGTCGTGCGGCGCTAACACCAGGGGTTGCGGTTTCTCCACCAGTTTCAGGTCACCCAATGTCGTGAACTCTAGCGTACAGTTCTGTAGGGTATCGGAGCTCTGGTTAACAATCAATACGTCCAGACATATGTCGTACTGATTGACGTTCACATAACACTCGGCGTACACGGGGTCACTGAAACCGGTCAATTGGGTCACTTTCGACAGCTTCGATGACGACAACAGGTCCGACACATTGACCGACGACTTCTGGCCGAGATTTGTGGTCGCTGTGGGACCGACGTTACCGGCGATGGCTTGCGATAGACTCACATCAAACTGATTCTCAATGGTCTCCGAGTTTTTGCTCATCAATTGACTGAAAACCAAGTGATCGTCACTTTCGACACATTTGTTGGGCCGAGACTTGACGGCGTGTTTGGCCTCTTCGGCCTCCGATTTACTACTCATAAGCATACTCTCCAATGAGGAGCGCATTTCAGACAAGAACATTGTGTTCACGAGAGCCTCCACTTCGGGATTGACGCCATTCGGCGAAGAGATTTGGGTCAAAATCATTAGACAGAGTGCTATGCGCTCGAAGTCGTCGTCATTAATGGTTTGAGTAATGAGTTTGGATTTTCCCAAATGAAGAATCGATGTCAATATGAGCATCGATTGGGCCAGAAATGAGTTCGTCTGTTTGCCCGCACCGACCACTTGACGGTAACGCAGCGCCAGTTTAACCAAACAGTTGGCCAGAGCTGTGCCGATGAAGAACTCGCCGTTCAGCAGATGGTTTCGCAGCGGCGGTACGTTCGCCGACTTGTCCACACTCTTCGTGTTGACGCTAAGCGCCGATTGCGTGATATAAGAGCCATCGGCGGTCACCAGTTTGGCGGCGTTGGGCACCGCGTTCTGTTGCCGCTCAGCGACGGGCGCTGTTGACGAGTCTTCGCCGTCGACCCCGTTCTCCAGTTTCTTGAGCTCCGCCTCCACTATAGGGATGTCTCCAATGGCGGCGCGTATGATAGCCATGGCCTCCAGTATCTGTGTCTCGTCTTCGTCGCAGAACTCTCCCAACACCCAAATCAAGCCGCGATGCACTTTCACGTTACGAATGGTCGGAAACACATCCAGTATTCGCGAGACAATCAAATTCTTTTGGTTCAAATTCTTCTGAATGTATTCCCGCGTAAAGACAATCACCAGAATAGCGGTGGTCTCGTCGTCGGCGTTGGTCAACAACTCAAACAGAGTGGCCATCAAATTACTCGACGCCATTACGTCCGGGTATTTCAGACATATCGAGTGTAGAGTTCCGACCAATAGTTGCCGATATTTGTTGGTCTCTTCGCTGCTTCCCTGGGATTCGCTCTGCGTTTTCAGTATCTCTTTCTTCAACAGTTGGACCAACTCTTCGACATTACGCGACGAAACCAAATCGAGGCCCAGATTTAAAATCTTTTGTTTCACTTCGAGATCTGTGGCCACATTCAGTATACGGAGGATATCCATCAGCGAGTCCTGTAGTATGCGTTCGGCCGCAGCGGTCGAGTCCTTCAACGCCACCAATCGGTCCAAAACGATAAGCTTTACGTTATTATCGCTCTCTTTAATGCAGATATCAATAAAACAATTGGCGGCCGCTCTCAGGGCTGTCGGCGCCTGCGATAGAGTGATGAGAGTGGCGGCCGCTTCGTAGCGGACGGACGCCGATTGGGATGTGTTCAGCAGGTTATAGATGGCGCGTATGAATCGGGACCTCTCGCTCGGGTTAGCGATACATACTTTGTATATCAGTTCCACAATCACGAGCTGAAGGATGTCATTGAAGCCACCGATTTGGTCCAGACATGAGTTCAGATAATCCAACGCTTTCTTCTGATCCAAATGTATTAACATTAGGAACGCGTTTCGCTTACACGAGGCGTCCGCCTCTCGGCTCAAGAAGTCCAGAATGACTTCCGGCGCGTCCGGAATGAGTGCCTCGAAGTTGACGTATATCTTGAAGATGGCGAGCACTGCGTTCCGGCGCACATACGAGTGCCTGTGCTCCAGACACGCGCGGATGGCCGGCATCAGCGGTTCCAGGAGTTCCGGCTCTTTGAGTTTGCAGAGAAAGCGAAGGGTTGAGCCGCGGATGAACTCATTGGGGTGTTGCAGGTCTTTGCGATAGGCGTCGCACACGAGTATCATCTCGTGGAGCAGTTTGCCGTCGGGACCGCGTTTGGGCACAATCTCCCAGAATATAAGCAACAACTTCTTGATCATGTGGTCATTGGATGGCAGACAATAGCGGATGACAGTCATCAACATATTGGGCGGAAACTTCTCGCCATTCAATATCATGAAAATCAATTTCTTCAACGCATCCGTCTTCGGCTTTAACTCCATTTTCTCTGCAAATGGATTAAGACATTAGTGACCTGTGATGGCGATTGTCATCATCGGTGGTGTCGTCGATGACCGGCACATGAAATACAAACCCAAGTCCGCCCTAAGAGTTCCCTCATTGACCGAGTCGTCTGATTCCGTGTTTATCAATGTATAGCATATCGAGTCCGCCGATGAAGACATGGTTCCCGCTCTTCAGATGTCTGTCTCTGTGTCGGCCAATGTATAACGAGTTGATCCTATGATATAAACAATGGTAAGCGTCTTCCGGAGTGACACGAGTGGTGACAATCAGTCAATCATTCACTTCAAGACACGTCAACATTGAATGCATTCAACACTCAAACCATACAATCGTACGAACCGTTCATAACTTACGTTACGTTTGGTTTTTCGCCGGTGTTTGCGATTACACCCCCTTTGATAGCACTGTTAACTCATTGTAATTACCTTTTGTTGAATTAATTAATTTCAAAACTTAGTTTCAATTATTTAAACCTGTTTTAAGTTAATTAATTGTTAATACATTACAAGACACAAGTGTTTTAAAAATCTCATAATAAAATCTCATGTTAGAAAGACTTCTAGATATTGAACACTGAATTACAAAGTGTTATTCTGTGAAAGAATAATTAACTAGATTTTTATTTGATTAGGAAAATTAATTGTAATATTTTTAATTACTTAATAGTTACACTTACTTTTATAATTTACAATAATTACATTTGTAGGAGAATTGAAAATATTTTTCACTAACATTTTGAGAGAATAAAAAGTTTTCATAAGAATAAACATTAAGAATATTTGATAACATTTAAAATAATGATAAAAGCATTGAAACAATAATTATAAAAATACAATAATTAGGAAAATAAAACCAATTTTAAAATACACTAAATATATTGTTTGCTAACCACTGGCTCTACTGTTAGCGGCTTTAATAGTACCATAATGTCTGAACTCGGGCTTCAATTCCCACATATATTTGTGTGGATTCTTCACGTTATAGACACACAACTCTCTGACTATTATTTTGAGATAACTAAGTGGTTGTCCGGTAAGCATTTGAAGGTCTTTTAGGTGATAATACTGGTGGTTCTCAAAGGCTTTGAACAGTTTATTCCTCACCGGTTCCCTGTCCTCACGACAATTCTTAACGAGTGATCCCTTCTTAGCGGTGGTCGTCGGGTGTCTGGATATGGGCTTAAATACGGTTATAGTTCAAAATCTCATAATAAAATCTCATGTTAGAAAGACTTCTAGATATTGAACACTGAATTACAAAGTGTTATTCTGTGAAAGAATAATTAACTAGATTTTTATTTGATTAGGAAAATTAATTGTAATATTTGTAATTACTTAATAGTTACACTTACTTTTATAATTTACAATAATTACATTTGTAGGAGAATTGAAAATATTTTTCACTAACATTTTGAAAGAATAAAAAGTTTTCATAAGAATAAACATTAAGAATATTTGATAACATTTAAAATAATGATAAAAGAATTGAAACAATTATAAAAATACAATAATTAGGAAATAAAGCCCATTTTAAAATACACTAAATATATTGTTTGCTAACCACTGGCTCTACTGTTAGCGACTTTAATAGTACCATAATGTCTGAACTCGGGCTTCAATTCCCACATATATTTGTGTGGATTCTTCACATTATAGACACACAACTCTCTGACTATTATTTTGAGATAACTAAGTGGTTGTCCGGTAAGCATTTGAAGGTCTTTTAGGTGATAATACTGGTGTTTCTCAAAGGCTTTGAACAGTTTATTCCTCACCGGTTCCCTGTCCTCACGACAATTCTTAACGAGTGATCCCTTCTTAGCGGTGGTCGTCGGGTGTCTGGATATGGGCTTAAATACGGTTATAGTTCTGTCCAATTGTTTGACGGGTTGCCGTCCATTAGGCGGTTGTGTCGCCCGAATGGCTCGCATCTTATTCAAAGCGAGGAATCTGTTGGACATCACTGGCCGACACTCGCCCTTCTGATCCACTATACCGTCAAATGATATTTGTTGTGTATCTTTACTGTCGTCCACAGAGAATAAGACCAGCGATTGGTTATCAACTCTTGAGAGTGAGAATTGATGTTCTTTTGGTATACTTTGGTCGCCATTCTCTTTGTTTGCCTCCTTGTCCTCCGGATCTTCGGGTATTTCCGTCAACTCTTTCGCTATAGTAAAATCAATTTGCGTCGACTCATCGCCCGATAACTTCCCCGACATCCGTATGCGTCCGATCTCTTGCATAGGTTTCGCGCCGTCCATACGTTTTGACAGATATTTCGGTACTTTTATGAGCCATACTTTCCGCGATATATTTTTTATGTCGACCTCAGGAACCGATTCATCAATGTTTGTCATTTTATC